ACTGTCAACTCAGTCATACAACATTATATACAACTTGAATGCAACAACCCATGCAACATCAACTAATGCATCGTCACGCATATACAACTAGGAGATCTCCAACAATTGAGGTTGAGCAGTCTAGGTGGCATAAACCCTACCGAATCCAACGTTTGACCTATCTCAACCAGGTCAGGTATAAGGCATCGTTAGGAACTCCGAAGAGAACTAGGTATAGACAACAATAGGCGATTACTCGGGTGTGCCACTTAGACTCGGAGGTCCAGTACTACTTTCAGGATAGAAGGGTTTGGGTATGAGCCTACCAAGACCTTGGCTAGCATCACCAATCCACATATGGAGTTAGCCCACCCATTGTCCTTCAAGTACCACGCACCCTCTAATACCTAGTCAAAGACTACATCTCTAACTAGATACCTTACTCAAATTGGTCATTCAACCATGATATGGATCGACTACTTCCATGTCGCCCACACAGTACTAAGGGATTCAACTTTAAAATAACTTTCAACTTATCTCCTTAGTACTATATATCTCAACATAGGACATATATCTTCACCATATGTCCCTAACTTTTCAACTTTATAACAATAGGCAACTTTACGATAATAAACAAATTTGCAACTTTACAACTATAAGCATCATAACAACTTTATAACTATAAGGGGGTTATAATTACACCAGTGTAACTTTTACTAAGTATTACACCGCTCAATAACTTTATATTAAATGTGAATTTTTTAAATCCAACCGTTAGATTGAAAGATCATATCACTTTATATGTGTATATCAAATTTTGTTAAAATTGAACAACAATTCGAAGGTGATCAAAGTGTTCATATTTTAGTATATTTTGAAATGAATATATTACGTCAATTTTGTTTTATAAAAATGAAGTATCAAATCATCTTAGATTAATATAAAATTTTGTATATATGATCTAAGAGATATGAACTTTCAATCTAACAGTTGGATTTACAAAATTCATATTTAATATAAAGTTATTGAGTGGTGTAATACTTAGTAAAAGTTATATATATATATATATATATATTTATTTATTTATTTATTAAGAAGTACTCCTTAATAATTATAACATATTTCGTTGTTACTTTTTTCTTTTTGAATCACATCTCTTCGTTACAAAATATTTTATTATGATTTACTTTTATTACTAAACATGTAAAATGGGATTTTTTTATCAATAAAATTATAATAAAAATACCAAAGTTTGACTCTAACCTTATGCATATTACCTATCTTTCTATTACTAGATTGATCCTAATAAATAATGTATAAAATAAGATACAAATGCATAAACATATAAATTACTTACATATATTTTATTGTTTCAATTTTATCCTAATTTTTTTATTAAAATATTTTTATTTTAATAGTTAAACATCTAAATTTAATTGAAATCAAATTTAACTAAACTCACTGTAATATACCATCAATTCAGATATGCAATAAAATTGAATCTAAACTCTAGAATGACTCCAAAAGACATGGAATTTAAAGAAAGAAAACTTCTCTTTCACTTCAACGATTCGAGCGCATATAAAGACAATTCTCCACTAAGAACACGCACATCATCCAAGACGAAATCTGAATTATTGGAATTAAAAAAAAAAGTCTTATCCTTTGTTTTGCCCTACAGCTGTGAAAACATAATAAACTAGTGTGAATATATATAATAACAGATAAACAAATTGGTTTGGAAGGAGACTCCAATAATAATGGTCGCTAACTTCTTCCACAGTCATGACAAAATTAGATACTAATGATATAGTTAATAATTTTTAATAAAATAAATAAATAAATAATGAAGTCTTTGATTTGACGTACGTCGAGGCAAACATAGGCCCCACCTGTATATATTTGCCCACTTAAAAGGCTAAGAAAGCACAAGAATGACTAAAAGGAGAGTTTTTAAAACTTTTAGTGTAATTTAGTATTTAGTTTATTTTCTAAAAGTAACATAAGAATGCATCTGAATACGTGTTCTCAAACATGTTGGAAAAAGATAATGACAAGAATAATCAATATAAAAAATAAAAATAAATACAATATATAAAAAATAATAATAGAAATTTTTTTTATTGGTGTATCTTAAAAGTTTAAATGATAAATTCGTCATATAAAATTCAAACTGTATCTCATTTACAAATTTTAACAATAAATAATTGTTAATTATTAAATAATTATCATCAAATCCATTTTAATGAAATTAAATTGATAAATAAAATATAAATATCATTATTTTCTTAAATATAAAAAATTATAATAATTAGTTTAACTTAAAATATAATTTATATTGTTAGCCCCAAGACCAATGTAGGTTCGTCATTGGAAGCAAACATATATTTTGGAGTGTGTTTGGTTTAAAAAGGAAAATAATAAAAAAAAGTAAAATTAGAAAGTAAGATAATTTTATAAATTGTTTGACAGGAATAAAATTGAGATAGAAGAAAATTATATACACTTAGAGCATTTTTGTAGCATATACTTAGTATGAAATCTGAAGAGAAAAAGACAAAAAAATGAAGTGTTACATAATATATAGTAGTATGGTGTATTTGGAAAAGGATGAATGTTTCTATATTTAGGAATGAGGTGTTGGGTATAATAGTTAATCTTTTCTTTTAATTACTCATTTGTGATGAGGTCAATAATTCTTGGAACTTTTTTATTGGATGGAAAAAAGGCATGTTGAAGAGTGTTATTGGTGAGATTTACGTGACCTAAAGACATGCATGTCTTAATTAGAGTTGTTTGTGTAAGTTGATTACTTAGTGATATTTGGTTGATTTGCATATGAATTTTTGGTATCCAAGTACCAATTTAATATATATTATTAATTTTGTTGTCTAAAAGATATATATAAAATGAGGAGGGATCCATAATTCAAGAAGTAAGTTTACTTATACTTATTTCATTCAATAACTTATATTTTATATCAAATTTCAACAATCTAATCATTAAATTTAAAATTTTTAATACATAAATCAAGTTTTCAAATTAATTTTTAAAAAACTTAAAAACTATTTAATATTTCATTTTATTAGTTCAAATCAACGTATAAAATATTTTATGATTACCTATTAATTTAAATTAATGAAACAAAGTATTAAATAATTTTTAAATTTTTAAAAATTAATTTACAAATTCGATTTATGCATTAAAAATTTTAAATTCATTAATTAGATTATTAAAATTTGATATAAAATATAAGTTATTAAATAAAATAAGTCTGAGTAAGCTTACTATAAATGTCTCTAAAAAAAATAAAGAAAGTTTTTAATATTTAAAATTAAGAAACACATTTTTTTTTTAATCTAAATTCTCTCTCCCTTTCTCATCACGTTGGAGAGATTTGTATATACGTGGGTGCCGTCCACTTTTTGTTCTTTCAATATATCTCCCATTGAGAAAACAATCAAACAAAGGAAATCTCTTCCGTTCTTTCACTTTTCTAACGTACCAAAGATAACGTTAAGAAAAGAACATATTAGACACCATATAAGTTAATCTACACATTAAGAGATGTTCAAATAATATATATATATATATATATTTATTGAGTGAAGTAAGTCTATCAAAATTTATTCTTAGAATAAGTAAATTCTTTCTTATTTATTACTATTATTATAATATACTATATTTTTTTGACTAAAAGAGTTATTACTTCTTTACTCATTAAATGTGTCATAATTATACGTAAATAGTAAATAAAATACTTTTTATAGAATATTCAAAATACATAAAAATAACCTTTTTCATTGAATAAAATTTGGGATGTTACACCAATCAAACCAATCCAATTGAAAATTGGTATTAAAATTCGAATAGTTTACTCATGAAATTAGTTACAGTTGATCAAATATCGGTCAGTTTTTGTCAAAAGAAACTAGTAACCAGTGAATAAGTTGGATTTTCAATTTTTAAAAAATAAATAAATAAAAGTGTTTAGACTTTATAAAAGTTGCATTTTGAAATGTTAATAACTTGAATATAAATTGAATGTTGATGCTATTTATATTTTGAGTTTTGAACTTATTTATAGAATTATGTCCTTGATTTTAATTTAATTGTTATTTTTAATATCAAGTATCTTGTAATGACAATGTTTTTAAATTTGAAATATGAAATTATGTTACAGACATGTGAAATTTATCATCTAGTATATCAATAATTTTACTTTAAATATTAAAATATCTTAAATTACATTAACTATATAATTTAAAAAAAAAAAACTAATATAAACCGATTTATTAAACGACATTCAAATTTGAACATTAAACCGTCACACGACTGATAACATGACCTGATCGGTTTTTATAACATGCTTACACCAGTGTCATGTCCTTATTAAAACCAACAATTAACTCCAGAGACTTGTGGAATTAAAGGTACATTTCGTGACATGAAACTCGAACTCTAAAGAATTTTTTTATCTCCACGTTTACTATAAAATCATATTTAGAATAAGATAAGGCTAGGATAAGGTTGTATAATTAAGTAGGTAAAGCTTGCTCAAGCTATCGTGCATGCCATTGCCAACGGACTGTTTAGAAACAAAAGAACCATGCTTCAGAAAAGAGTTGTAGCCAACCATGAACATAGGACCCATGCTATTGGTACCATTCTCCATAGTATATTATTCGTTAAGTGCCAAGAAATTATTTATGAAAATAAAACCTAAATACAACTAGATTGTTCTCTAATAAGAATTATAATTTCATAACACGTGTAACATACATCAATATATATATCACCAAAATGAAACTCAAATTCCAGTACTACCTAAATTTTGTCCTTTTATAATTCAGTCTGGTATCCAAGCAAAATACTTACTAGAAAACATTTTTAAGACCCCAACAATTGCATTCTTCATTATCAAAATGCCATTATCAAAATGCCAGGTTGTTCATTGGAATTCAGTTATTAAAGTTGTAGAAGCCTGGAAGCTGAATACACCATTCATCAGAATCTATGGATGGGCAAGGCGTTCTATTTTGTTATATAACAGGACTTGCAAAAGAAAAATACCAAAACATGAAATCTATGATTGAAATAGGAGACAACCGAATACTTAAAAGTCAAACAATCAAAAAGCAACATTAGCTGAGGTACCAACAAAAATTCAGAACTTGTACTTGCTCAAAATGATGATCATAATACTCGAATATCTCTAGCAAGAGTAGAACTTAATACATAGCAAAGTAACAAACTATCATGAGCATCTACTGTTGCTTAGCTTCAACTTTCTTCTTCTGCCACAAACGATCTAGAGCACTGTCGGCATCACCCTGAAAACGAATAACAAGAACCAAAAATCCCATGTTAAGAAATGCAATTCCTAAAGGTAAATCATAAATCATCAAGGCGCATAAATGGAACATATAGCTGTTTCCAGGCAGAAGGAATCTGAATACAATAGTAAACACAATTTCTGACATAAATAAATATATGATAAAATGCAAACAACCAAAATTGTGCAATATATACTGTAGTTAATCATATTAGAGAGCATTGGTTTTCATTTCTCAATAATCTCCACTACAAAATGAAAAGAGAAGATATGTTCACCATCTGTTCGATGGAGATAATCAAGCAAAGAAAAAAAAACACTAATTTTCAGTTTGTTTTTTCTCAAACATCTGTGTAGGAAATAGATTCTTGTCATTATCAGTTTACACTTTTCACAAATAATTATAAACAATGCTAAGATATTTAGAATAAAAATACAAAAACAAAGATAAAAACAGGATACTCTAACAAATCCCTAATTCCCAACCCACTCCCCCCCAAATAGGGGAAGAAGAGCAAGTAAACAGAAAAGAAACACATTGACAACCAGTTCAATTCGATGTTAACTAAAATACTAATTAGAACATCATGCAATGTCTTTCAACAATGCTAATACATCATAGGTACAGTCGTTCCAACCCCAAGTCACCAACTAAATATCAACCAAATAAATCAGTAAACACAAATGCACAATTCGATTCAAAATTACAACAGAAGAACTGTGATGTTTAATTTATACAGTTTGACTCATTTAAGCCGATAGAGCTCATATAAGGCAACTGAAATTATAAAAAAAAATTATCATTGAAAAACAGAACTTCTTCTCAAATAAACATTTTCATTTTTGTTGCTTGAATGATAACGCCAACAAAACACTAATTTAAGATACACCCCACTCACTAACCACCAAATCGACACAATCAAACAAGATTAGGACCATATTTCACATGATTACGAGTAAACATATGCAAAAACTATACCAAACAATAATAATAAAGAAGAAAGTAATTCCAAAACAAACAGAAAAAAGTGAAAAAAAAATAAATGAAGACCTGAGCACGGATGAAGCCACAGAGGGCAAAAGTGGAAAATTGACCATTGTAGACACCATTCTCATCCAAATGCCCAATGTTGATCTGGACCGAAGCATGGTCCTTTGCAGTGATCAATCTGTTTGTTGCAGAGCTGCACCATATTCACAAATGGGTTCAAATTCGATAACCAACAACCAAATAAACAATCATTAAACTAAAATTTTCAAAAACATTAAAAATTAATGACAGAAATAACAGGATTAAAGTGCATACCACTTCCTGGGAATGTAAAGCTCGGTGATTTGTCCTTCCTCGTTCTGCATCTTCGGTTGGGTGTTGTAAAGCTCCTTCAAAAAGATCCGTAAACCTGAATCAGATTAAGTAGTCATAAATTGTAAGCACTATATCGCTTCTTAAACGGAATAATTAAGAAAATTAAAAACTTGAAGAGAGAAAGCGCACCTGAGAAAACGAAGAACGAAGATGAATGCCGTAGAGGAGGAGTTGGGGGCGAGAGGATTGTTTTAAATCCCCCAAAACCCTAGTTTCCTTCTCAACTTGGGCCGGGCTTCAAATATTATTTTTCTTAAGCCCATTTTTGACAAAAACATATTCAAATCCCAAACATTTTTTCTCTAGTTGAGTATTTCCTTAATCTTAATTTTTTTTTAAAAAAAATTATATGATATTTTGTTAGATAGATTCAAAATAACATATAAAATATTTTTTTAATAATTATTCATCAATTTAAATTAATAAAATGATGTATTAAATAATTTTTAATTTTTTTTAAAAATTTTATAAATTTAATCTATACATTAAAGACTTTTAATTGAATGGTTGAATATTTAATGTAAAATATGAATTATTGAGTGAAGTAAGTCTATCAAAATTTATTCTTAGAATAAGTAAATTCTTTCTTATTTATTACTATTATTATAATATACTATATTTTTTTGACTAAAAGAGTTATTACTTCTTTACTCATTAAATGTGTCATAATTTAGTTTATTGATGTAGTTTAATTTTTAATTTAATTTTATTTTTTAAAAATATTATAATTAAGTATTTTTAGTGTTTAAGTGTAAAAAAGATCATTATATTTTTTAAGGAAAACAAAATGTATATGTGAGAAGTGAGGAGGAAAATTAATATATCAATTACACCGAACATAAAATATCTTTCAATGTTGAGTTATTTTCACATGCATAATATATTTTTTAATATTTTACATATTATTAACTTTTTAATAAAATTATTGTCAGAGTTAATAATTTATTGTGTGGGATTTGTGTGAGACCCTTTTTCTCTTTTTCTTTTTCTCTCCCCGACACTCCTCTCTCACTCATTCTCTTCCCACTCTTTCTTTCTTACTCACTTGGCTGATTCTTCTTTTCCCTGGACTGAAGGTGGTGATTCAAGTTAGGTAGAGCTAGCTGATCTGTGTGGAGATTTCTTCCCTCAAGTTTCTTCTTCATCTTCTATTCTCGTTCTTTTCCCGAAGCTCGGAATCTTCTACCGAGGTAAGGGAAGTTAGTAATTTTCTTTCTTTTGTCGTTGTTTTTGGCTGTGGATGAGTTCTAGAAACTCATTAGATGTTTATTGATGGTTGATTCGTGGCTGTGTTGAATGAGAACTTGTTTTTGGGGGGTTTCGGGGTTTTTGAGAAAATTTGGGGAAATCCTTGATTTATTGTTGCATGTTGAAAAAGGTAGTATTTTTGGGTTCTTGGATGGAAATGTGATAATTTGAACCGATTGCATGTGCTTTGGGAAGTTGATTTTGCAGGTTTTGATGAGATTTTTTAAAGTTTGAGGGTTGCTGCTGGGTAGCACGCCGGGCGTAGTTCTTCGCGTCGGGCGCGTGACCATCAGAGACTTCATTTAGGTAAGTATGCCGGGCGCAAATGGTGAATGCGCCGGGCGGGCTTGAGGATGTGAGTCTCTGGATGGCCCTCGCTGGGCGTGGTGGAACCGCGCCGGGCGCGAAATCAGTGGATGACTCAAGTTTTGAGGTTCTGGTGTGGCGCTAGACTTGGCTTTGTCTCGCCGGGCGTGGAGACTCCATGGGAGTCTCTGCCAGAGGTGGCGCTGGGCGCAATTTATATTGCGCTGAGCGTGAGACTTGGAGAAAGTCTCTGCATACCCGGTGCTGGGCGCGGGTTCGCACGCCGGGCGTGTGAGATCTTGGGAGGTCTCTGCCTTCCCTCACGCCGGGCGCAATAGGTATTACGCCGGGCGTGTTGATCCCTGGTGCTCTCTGGTTGTGCTGCGCTGGGCGCAACCACGAGTGCGACGGGCGCGGAGGTGGAATTTTACTATATGCTAAGTTGAGTTGAAATGAATATGATGGGGTGACTAGTAGATAATGAAGTTGATGATGTTGAGTTGTGTTGTATGTTGACAAGTTAAGTTGTGTTGTATGATGAAGAGTTGAGTTGTGTTGTATGTTGCTGAGTAGTGTTGTGTTGTAAGTTGATATGTTGAGCTGTATTAGTTGTATATTGTTGTAAGTTGATATGCTGAGCTGAACAGTTGTGTTGCACTGTGTGTTGCTTTTGGATGTTGTAGGCCGAAAGGCTGAGGTGTTGTAGGAGATCTCCGAGGTGATATGCGTGATGACGCATTGTGTGCTTATTGCTGATTATACTGTAAAATCGATGAGTTGTATACTGATAATGTGAGATGTGTGCTATTATTGCTGAATGTTGTGGGATTTTAAACTAATTTTGTTAAGTTGATTGATGAGTTGATTTGATGTGTTGATAGGGGTAGCTATTTACTATTCATATATTTATATATATGTATGTTATTTCTTTTCACTAGCTTACCCTTTGTTGTTTCCATGTGGTTTGGACTGCGATGATCATACTATGTATGGGAGCAGAGCAGGGTTAGACTGGTGATAGTGGCAAGTCTGCAGTTGGCAAAGGGAGGAGTCCTGTTTGGCTGATGTCTTGTTGTTGGGCCACTATCTGGCTACTTTGGTTGTATTTTGTTTGTACATTCTAACTCTAGCCGGATTGGGACATTGTATATATTTATATTCTATATCCTATATTTATATACTCGTTCTATTCTGTCTAGTGTTTCGGGTGTGCTGTGGTTGTGAGTGTAGTGACCAGCCGGGTCGTTACACTTTAGTGGTATCAGAGCAGGTCGAGTCTAGAGGACACTCTTTGGGGGTGGTCCCTTTAGGCTTTTGTTGTGTTAACTCTGTGTTGTGTGATCCTATTCTGTTGTTTGCTGTGTTGACTGATGTGATGAATTATTGTGTTGTTAATTGTAGTTGGGTTGAATGGTAGTATACTAAAGATGTTGTTCCTTTTTTTTTGTAGACGATGACTAGGACCAACGAACAGATAGCCCGTGCCATAGAGATGATGGCTATGGCTATGCAACAGCAAAATGCCTATTTTGCTAGGATGGAGGCTGAGAGAGCTGCAGCTGGTGCAGCAAGACCTACAGGGTCACAGGAAAGCTGGGATCTTGCTGAGTTCCGGAAGTGTAATCCTCCACAGTTTGCAGGAGATGCGGATCCATAGGTAGCTGACCGCTGGATCCGTGAGCTGGAGAAGATCTTTACTGTCCTGGGATCTCCTCCAGAGAGGAGGTTAGCATATGCTGTGTATATGCTTGTGGGAGAGGCCGAGCATTGGTGGGGAAGCACTTATCAGATACTTGCTACTAGAGGAGTTGCAGTTGACTGGGAGTGCTTCAGGACGGTATTCATGGAGAAGTACTTTTCGGAGAGTGTAAGGCACGCCAAGGAGGCTGAGTTCCTGCGGTTACACCAGGGTGCGTTGTCTGTATCGGAATATGCGATGAGGTTCGAACACTTGGCTTGTTTTTATTCACAGGCTACTTCTGAGGCATGGAAGTGCAGAAGAAATCTTAAAAAAACAAAACATTGATCATAAATTGCCCTCATTGTCACAGATGGACGTTTCCTTGTTTTTCTGTTGATCCATGGTATCAGAAAGAGCCATTCCTATTGTCTCAGGCAAACAGAACAACACAAAAGTGGAACAAATTATAACGTCTCCAAACACGTCATAAGAGAAAACGTGGTTCTTCCTCCCCGCAGATATCAGAAATGGGCTGAATATGCAACCAAACACCATAGCCTGTCTCGCTAGCGACATTGCAGTGTTCCTCACACGGGTCAGAAACAGCTCTACGATGTATATAAAAAACACGTTGCGAGCCATGCAAACACAGAAAAACGATGCCACCGCTAACCACACCTTAACAGGTGCCACAACAACACACATTATGCAACACACCCCACTTCCTAGTGAGAGCGCAAAAATGGATAACTTTCTCTTGAAATTTCCCAAGAAATAGGTCACTACGCAAGAGAGTATTTCCATCAAGGCGTTATACACAACGGCCAGGTATATGTTACAGTCCAAGTTTCCCACTGCTAGTGGCGTGCCATAATACACTATTCCAATGCCAAAACCAACCACCATAACTCCCACCATTCGTTTAAGAGCCCAACTTGTTTTGAACAACGTTGCTATTGATGAATACAGTTCAGACAATGAAGACGTTTGTTTAGCAGCTTCCACTTCTAGTGGTAGATCACTTGAACATAAATTATCACCATTTTCTGATACTACTTTAAGCATTGTCATTGCTTCTTCCACTCGACCTTGTTAAAAACAAAAATACAAAAATTAATATATTTATTATCAAAATAATGTAAATAAAATCTAAATTAAAACAAAATTTAGTTATTTTTTTTAATCGTTATAACTTTATCAACTTTATTTTTTAATCTTTATAATTAAAAATATTTTATTTTAATCATTATATATTATTTTTATTTTCATTTATTATCTATAATATCATAAATTTTACTTTTTGTTCTTATAAAAATAGATGATAAAAATTAAAAAAAAAACAAAAAATTGTATTTATTAAAAATTAAAATAAAATATTTTTAATTATAAAGGCTCAGGAAAAATTTATGAAATTATAAAGAGTGAAACAATGATTAAACCTTGAGACTAGTATAAAAAAGTATGGATGGAAGCATGTAAAGGAATGTCTTTAAGAAGAAAAAATTTACTCTGCTGCTATTTTAATTTGATGGACCACTCTCTCTATGTATATTGACGTGCTACATCAATTGTGCAACAAACCGAACGAAGAGAACACAATTTGTAACGACCCTGCTGGTCACTACACCCGGCACAACACACTAGAAACACCACACAAAAAGGAACAAGTGTATACATATAGGGTTTAGAATATATACATATACATGATTCAAATCTGGATAGAGTTAAAGTATACAAAATACATCCAAGGCTACTACACTAAGTAGCTAAAACAACAAAAGATCCTAAAAGACCAGCTCTGTCTGTCAGCTACAGAGTCACCATCAGCCACCAACCTATCCCTGTTCTGGTCCCATACATAGTATGATCATTGCAGTCCAAATATCATGGAGACAACAAAGGGTAAGCTAGTGAAAAGAAATCAATATACATATATGGCAATATGATAGAAAACAGCTACAACTATCAGCACACCAGTACAACTTATACTACACCACAACATTCAACAATATCAGCACTGCTTGGCAGCAATAACAACACCACAATAGTGGCTAATAACAGCACCGACATAGCGGCTATAACAACACCACAATAGTGGCTAATAACAGCACCGACATAGCGGCTATAACAGCACCACAATAGTGGCTAATAACAGCACCGACATAGCAGCTATAACAGCACCGACATAGCGGCTATAACAGCACCACAATAGTGGCTAATAACAGCACTGACATAGCGGCTATAACAGCATACATCTCAGCATAGCATAGTAATATCAGCTTCCAGCCCTATAACAGTAGTGGCTAATAATCATCATACAGCTCAGCAAACACAGCACAGCAAATCAGCATTTTAAAAATCATCAATTACAGCCCAGCACAGCACAACAATATACATCTATTTCAGCTTAACATCATATATCAACATTTTCATCTAAACAGCACAGCATATTCATTGGTTTCATCTCATCTCAGCATAAAGCAGCATTTTTCAGCAAATTTCAACATATAACACCTCATCCTCATACGCGCCCGGCGCAATTCAGCTTTGCGCCCAGCGCACGTCCAGGCAGAACTCCAAAGAGTCTCACGCGCCTAGCGTGGGTAAGGCAGAGACCTACCAAGGTCTCGCGCCCGACGCAATTCGTATTGCGCCCAGCGCCCCTCTGGCAGAGACTCCCAAGGAGCCTCCGCGCCCAGCGAGTCGAAACACGTGCCTAGCGCGGCACCAGAACACCCAAAACATGTCACCATTGATATCGCGCCTGGCGCAGCTCAAGTCACGCCCGGCGTGGGCCAACCAGAGGCTCCCATTCTCAAGCTCGCCTGGCGCACACACCCTTACGCCCGGCGGCTTGCCTAAACAGAGCCCCCTGGTGGTCACGCGCCCGACGCAAAGAATAGCGCCCAGCGCGAAGCTCAACAACAACTTCCCCAAGTTTGAAATGCCCAAAACCTGCAAAAATCAACAGAAAACCAGCATGCAATCCAGCCAATTTCTTCATTTTCAACATGCAAACACAATTCATTAAAAACCCCAAAATTTCTTCAAACCCCAAAATCCCCTAAAATCCCCATTTTCACCAAATCAGCCAAGAACCATAAATCATCAGCAATCACAATGAAGTAGAGTTAGGCCTTCCTTGGTTGGCCTTCCCACCTTAGGTTTAGATCATTAGCATAAGATTAAGGCTTAATTAGAGTAGTTAGTTAATTAAGTCAAATTTAGGTTCATTTAGGTTGTATTTGGAGCACATGTGCATTAGCCAAGGGGGCTGCACATGGCTGCCACCAAATGAAACTCAAATGAACTCTAAATTGAGTAATAATGATAACCTAATTTATCTGATTTTATATTATTGACCATTTTTGTGAATGCAGAAAATTCTCATTATATGGATCTGCAAAAAAATAAAAATGAGTTTGTATTAAATAAAATATATACTTTGACTTTTTTATATAAAAACTTTGGCTCGTAAACATAAAAGTATTGTGCACACTTTTTTTTTATAAAAAATTAGATTAAAAAAAATTATTGAAAGAATTCTTTATAGAAGAAGACTATTTTTTTTTATTTTTATTTTTACGATGATTTCTTTTACTTTGCTGATGTTATATATACATCAGACTTAGTATTTGGATATTTGTAACAGTTTGATTAATTTGATTTGTTAAGTGATCAAATAATATTAAATGTTTCAATAATCCTATAATTTTATATTAATTATGTAAATCAAAGGAGTCTATGTCTATTATTGTTGAACAAGATGTGCGAGTGTTATAAATTTCTAACTCATCCTTAAGCATTTGTATTCAATTTTTATTGATAAAAAATTGTACTTGTGTAAATTAAAGTTAATTATTATTAGATATTTCAATAGTTTCATGATAATATTAATCACACATTGAAAATTAATATAATTAATTAATTTACTTTTAACCATTTTTGTGAAAATCAACTATAATTATATATGTAATTAACCATGTATAACATTCCCTTTTCTCTATTAAAAGCAAAAAAAAAAATGATTTCACACTCATTAAGATAATCAATTAACTTCGTTAAATTTTACCACTAACTATTCTTTCTAAATTGTATCTTTTGTTAAATTTTATCACTCAAACTATTCTTTCTAAATTGTATTTATTATAAATGTTCAAAAAAAAAAAAAATAGGGTAACTAAAAAGTCATGTTTTTAAAAAAATTATTTTAGAGTTAAGGAGTCATTAAATAATACTTGAAATTTGTTTATATTTAATAAAAATGTGTTTTTCTTTTTTGTTGTTGTTTATAAAAGAAAACAAAGGGTGTGATCAATAAATTCATAACATTATTAATAATTTATGAAGAAAATTCATTATGTATGATATTATTGTGATATTAAGTTAGTTCTCATTAAATATTTTAGTAACATAGATCAAAATACTATTAAACATATATGGATAATGATGACAATTGTATATAATTTCCCTTTAAGAAGTGAATAAGAGGGCTGGAAAATAGGATTGAATTTTAGTCAAGACTAAATGAAATGAAGCTATAAATCAATTGGTATTGAGGAAATAACACTTCCATTAATGATGGAAGAGGTAAGTGAAGTGATTGATGTTCTTTCGTTTCCTTCTCCAATTGTCACGATCTTCTTCCTTGAGATTCAATTCCGGAAAAGGTTTTCCAGAACTGAACAAGCAAATTGAGTTCCTAAGCTAGAGATGGAAGTACTCAAGCAAGAAACTCCAAAGGATTTCTCATGAAAGCCTTAGAACTCTCAGATTCTTAAGCCTAAGCAAGGAAAGTTTAGGTGACTTTGAGAGAAATTTGGCTGAAGTAAATGATCAAAAACCTCATAAAGGTTCAAAGTGAATAAAAATGAGTAGAAAAGAGGCTTATATAGAGTTTAGAAGTGGTGCCATTCAAAGGAATACTTTGGCGCCAAAATTGAATTCAAATTTGAAATTTGAATTGAATTTCCATCCAAATGCACTTCATCTATGTGCAACCACATTTGTTGGTTAATTAAGTTAAATTTAGAGTTCATTTGAGTTTCATTTGGTGGCAGCCATGTGCAGCCCCCTTGGCTAATGCACATGTGCTCCAAATACAACCTAAATGAACCTAAATTTGACTTAATTAACTAACTACTCTAATTAAGCCTTAATCTTATGCTAATGATCTAAATACAATGACCAACCTATCACAAACACTAAGAAATGATAAAAGAAGTAAAATGAGCCTAATATTGATACCAAAATACCCAAGGCTCATTAAGCCCGAAAACAGGCCCAATAAGCCTATGGCCTAAAAATGCTAATCTATGTGGTCCAAAATAAAAGACCAAAATATATGAAATCTGTATTAATATACTATATATAAATAGAGGAAAATGGAGATCTTAGGGTGTGGTCCATGTGAGGAGCAACTTGGGCTTTCCAAGCCCATTAGGTTCTAAACTAGCCCAAATCTTCATGTGTAGTCCATTTCTCTTAAGTCCTTTAATGTGTCACCTCTTGACCTTCTTGGCATGATTCTATCGATTAACTAATGAGAACACTAAAAATAATTAAAATCTATATAATATAAGGTTTGAGAGTTGAGAGTAGACATTCTATAGAGTTGGATTTAACATGTTGGCACATTGAATTAGTGAGCTCCTCAATGATTGCCTTGGATGAATTCAAACTTCAAAGCAATGAAAATAGAGACAATGTCTATGCTACGATACATCTAATTATATACAAAATAGGCATCATTAGTGAGAGTTTGTCTCATATATATTCACTTACATAAAGTCATTTGTTTAAATCGTAGTTTTAAAACGTAACTCGGATTGATCAGTTGGATCGATCTGATTGAGATCCAAATATATGATTGGTTCGAACTAATAGTTAGATCATCAAATTGGTAAAAATTGGCATAAACTTGGTATAAATTGAGGTTCACTTGATTTGGATGGACCTATCTTTGTTTTTTTTTCTTTTTCAAATCTAGAGTTATGTTTGTACCACTTTGCACACTCTTCTTACGACTAACTCTATGTGTCGTTGTGCTCTTCTTGAGATCGATTTACGTCACTACTTTGTGTGTGTT